CATAAATATCCGCAGTCTAATTATAACATATAATACAAGTTAAATTTGCTTTATATTGTAACGAATAAATAAATGTTAGCTTCATTTCACAATTTACATCGCTTTGCAATGACAATTCTTGTTTATTCCACGTTCATTAACTGTCCAATGACTTACGAACTGGAGTTTGTAAGCAAATGATGCAAATGGGTTAATGTCGTCGATTTCACAAGCCTGCTTAGTATTAATATTATTATTACAGTGTATTAAAAAACCCAATGCTTCACGACTCTGAAAGAAAAAGGTTGCATTGGACCGAATGGACCCAGAGTCCATCGATGAAGAAGATTCCCTAATTTGAATAACAAACGTTGCATATGTATTTTAATGTTAAATCGAAGCATTAAAAATGTAATACCGACGATGTTATTAAATATAAAGAAGGCGTTGTAAAATATTAAACGTTAAATATCATTCATTGTTTTATATTTCAAATTTTTGGTTTCGTTGATAATTTTATTTTTTTAAATAAAACTAGGTATGACGATAAATTTCAAATCATTCTGGAAAAATTATTTTTGATTATAGGGATCAATTACAATCATTTTTGGTCAATAGACATACCCTCGAAATCCTACCCAGTTTCGAGAAAAAAATTCAGGAAAGTGGCCAAATTTTTTGACAAAATTAAAGAATTTCATATCGTTATGAAAAAATTATTTTTGTTTGTGGGGGTCAATTACAATCATTTTTGGTCAATACACATACCCCCGAAATCCTACCCAGTTTTGAGAAAAAAATTGGAGTAGGTACTGAAATTTTTCGACGAAATTAAAAAATTTCAAATGATACTAAAAAAATTATATTTAGTTACAGAGGTCAATTATAATCATTTTTGGTCATTATACATATTCCTGAAATCCTACCCATTTTCGAGAAAAAAATTCGAATAGTTGCGCGAATTTTTAGACGAAATTAAAAAATTTCAAATCATTCTGGAAAAATTATTTTTGATTACAGGGATCAATTACAATCATTTTTGGTCAATAGACATACCCTCGAAATCCTACGCAATTTCGAGAAAAAAATTCAGGAAAGTGGACAAATTTTTTGACAAAATTAAAGAATTTCATATCGTTATGAAAAAATTATTTTTGTTTGCAGGGGTCAATTACAATCATTTTTGGTCGATACACATACCCCCGAAATCCTACCCAGTTCTGAGAAAAAAATTCGAATAGGTGCTGGAATTTTTCGATGAAATTAAAAAATTTCAAATCGTTCTGGAAAAATTATTTTTGTTTGCGAGGGTCAATTACAATCATTTTTGGTCGATACACATACCCTCGAAATCCGACCTATTTTCGAGAAAAAAAATGTTTACCGAAAATATACTGTGTGGCCAGAAATGTTTCTATAACTTTTTAACGAAGCCTCAATGAACAAATTAGTATCCTTGATTTTTGTCTTATTTTGGCCTCTAGTATCTCCCGAACATCTCTGTACACCCGTTGAAGTCTCTAGTTTTATGACTAAAATTATAGTGAAAATTGCATCATTTATTGGCCACCTTGTATCCTCAATACTGATCAACAATATTCCCTAATATACATAGAACAAGTTTTTGATAGATTAATATTTAGTGATAGTGATACAATACATTAGTAAATGATGAAAATTCATAACTAGAATTATAATGCAAACAAAGGAAAGTTTGTCCTCCATTTTATAATTTCTCGTATATTTCTAGTTTTAGTGAATCGCTGCTGAAATATACGTAACTTTATCTTATAAAAATCCGTCAATTTTTAAGCAAACGACCAAGGTCCCAACTTATATGTTACCTAGAAATAAATTCACATATTAGCAAAAAAAATAATATACTTCCAAGTATAATATTCACATCTTTTGTACGATCTTCCTGTTATCTCTTTGAACAAAACATAATAAATAAGACTGTAAACGAGGTCCAGTAATGAGGACACTTGCCTTTAACGGATAAAAATTCGATTAATTTCGTCTTTTTGTCCAGCAGTGTACCTTCACCTTACCTGGTTGCAGGCTATAAGGAATAAACAAGGTTACACAAGCATGGTAGTTTTACCGTGATTCTGGTACGCTGTAGATGGCCTGGTAGGTAGAAACGGGCTTGGGAATGATGAAATATCGTGGACATATATGAACAGAGAAACTAGAGGACAGAATTTTCTTTCGAAGATCTCTGTTCGGTTCGCAGGTTGGAGGCGACCGCATTAGGGGCAACGGCCGGTCAAAGTCCTACCTTCGACATTCTATCCCCACCACCTATTCGTTCCTGTCCTCGTTCAGCCTTCTACCTTTCCTCGCTGAAGTTTGCTCTTCCACGTTCGTCCTGTTCCCTCTCGTCTTCCCAACGTGTTTCGTTCTCCCCTTCGTACCTGACCCGAGGCTTTCTATCTTCAACGTTTGACGTTCACGATATTAGGCAATTAAATATTTAACTCTACGAGACATTTTTAATATTCCGTTTCAACGAGTTACCAACCATTTTTCATAGAAAGACTCAACTGTTCACGTGAAAGTCCACGTTTGAGAAAGATTGGCAAAAGAAAACATTCTTCGAAACACTCCAACATATACCCTTTGCTTCGCGCGTTTTACGTAGTTTACTTTGCCTGTTCCTTGTACTTTATGGTTGGAGCACACTGTGCAATCTTTATGTTTTTTTTCTTTTGCAAATGTTTAATATTTAATTTTCTATTTAAACGGTCTTTAACACTGGAACTACCAAACCAGTCAAAATTGTAATTTTGTAATTTTTAGTAAAACTTGTACAAAATTTATTCGACTGAATTTTTGAATGTTTACTGCAATTTTCTGTAAAAGAATGGATAAACATTTATTTATATTTATTATAATATATTTTTTCATGTATCTATCATTTTAATTTCTTTGGTACAAATAAATTCAGAAAAAAAATTATTATTCAATAGACTAATACTATTCGTTCTCATGACAAATAAAAATTTAAACATTATCCTCTATCTATGGAAAAAAATTGGTAATCGAATACGACAAATGGTACATACAAGTATGCAACATATTTCCAGAGTAAGGAACAAATTTAATTTGAGAAATTAGTTCAGTTGGAATAATCTTTGTTATCTATACTTGTGTGCAATTGCCCTGATATCTGACTAATATTTTCTGGAAACTTGGATTAATATCTTGCAATTAGAAAATATCCTATTGTGTAGTGACTTGTATATACAAAATATCGATGGGATTAGGTGGTATTGTTTTCTTCCTGAGACATGAATTGACGATTACTGATATAAACTCGCCTATAGATAAAAGTTTCTAGACATGTTTGATTACATTTAAATACAAGGTCAACGCTGGCCAACCAAAACAAATTATTTTCCGCTCTTAAAATAAATGATTAAGGAAGATCATAATCAAGTTTTAATCCTGTAAAGAAAATGTTCGTTTATTCGTATTATATAAGTTCCTTCGTATCGGAGAATCGAGGCTGGTTTTCTGATACTTAACAATAACTATTATATTTCACGGACGCACTTCTGAATAGAAAAAAACGTTGGATAAGGAAAATCTTTAAACAGATTAATCATTATTTGTCTTGATATAGAAGCGATTAAGTGAAATCGTAAGTTTCATATAGATTAACCGTATAATATTTGTCATTTGTATGATTGTGCTAAATGTAACGCATACTTGAGGCAAAGATTAATGCGAATTGATACAATGCGTTGGAAGACGACGATTCGCAGTTTTTGCTGTATTCGTAACCAGGTGCGATCTAAGAATTTTCAGACCTCTGACGGGCAATGACAAGCAAAACGTGGGCTATCAGGATTTAGAAATATCTTTAAAGGGAAAACGTGTTTTCAGAAATACGCGTGACGAAATCATCGATGATTTTTGCACTTTTTAAATGGCGTTTAGTTTAACTTTAACAATGGAATAAGTTCAGGAAATTGGACTTGCGTCGAAAATGCTATTCAAGATATTTTTATACTTTTTGTTAACACGAGACAAAATATATACGAGTTAATGTACCAAATAAAACGAGCATATTTAATATTTAGGACAGACTGATAAAATTTTCTAAAAATGATAATAAATATAGAGTTTCAGGTATACATTCAGAACACGCTCATCTATCATACTTAAGATGCTATTAGAAAACTGTACAATGAAGGAAGTAACTTTCTCGATATCTAAAAGTTGATGTTTCTTGTTTTAAATCTTTAACTCGGTATTTCATGAGGGAATACTTATCGTAACAATTGCAACAATTGTAACGCTGTCAGTTGGTATCAGTTACAAAATTAAAAAAGGTACAGATATACCTGCAACGATGGAGTGCAGTTGGAATAAAATTTTTACCAAAGAACAAGAACAAATCATTTTTCATTTCTATAGTAACTTTCTACATACCAAAACGTTAAGTTCCTTTTTAAGTGCAATTTAATTAAATAAATATCTTGATATTCCATTATCTACGATACGTTTGAAAAATTTTTTCTCTACTTCCCACGTTTTACATGATAACATAAACATTTCTTGATACATAACAAAACAGTTTGAACTCAATACTCTCAGATAAGTAGGTAACATATTATTCGTTCAGTAATGGTCGTTGAAAGAACAATTTCTTTTACGTAGACCTATTCTAAACTCAAAGTGTTACAACCTCTCATTTTCTTGCTATTATCTATCTCGAATTTTTCATAATTTTTTATTTACGCCACTCGATTCAGGGGCGCCGATTGTGGGCCAGTATGGCTCTGGGTGGAGCCTCGATCGCGTTCTTATTGTACTCGCCGCCTCAGCGCGATGTTATCTAGCCTTATCTTCACGAATAAGTGCCTTCACAATAATAAGATTGAAACTCTACCTCTAGCTTTGATACCAATTTCGTGATGCGTTGTCACTCAAAGCTACTGCGCAATCGTCGCTACTGATAACAAGAAACGAGATTTACCAGCAGTTCGCGAGCTCAGTGCGGTCCTGATTAACATTCCGTCGGTATTGTGGAAGCTCGATTAGTTTCTCGAGTAAGGCTGAGCAGTTCGCGGTAGGCATTTCGAAAGTCGACGCGATATTTTTGTAGGATACGAGAGCCCCCGTGGAGACAAATGAGAGAGTTGCGATCGAGGGAACTCTGATCGTTTTCGTCGATATGGCCACCGTCTTAGCCACGTTTTCGGTCCTCAAGGACCATGTCAAGTTAAAAGTTACCCAGGACTATGTGGCCATTGACAATATCGGTAACTGATAAACTATCCAGACTCGATCTGCTTCGATTAATCTTTCTTCTTTTTTTTGTTACCTGTTACGACTTAACGATTCGTTGTTTCGCGATTAGTGTTCAAGTTACACTACAGGGCCACGTTTCTGATACTGCTGATCAGTTCGCTTCTGGTGTCGTCTAGACAATTTTTCGGCGAGCACATCAGGTACTGAATTTTACGGCTGTGCAGGGTGTATCCTGCAACGTGACCCACGATTTTTCATTCAATGTTTGATAACAGAACTAGAAACCGTAGGTCGTCTGAGATTCTTCCAAGAGCCACGAATTTTTTTTATTTATACGGAAAACAAAGATGGGACAGAATGTAACAGAAATTGAATCGCTGTTGATCGAAATATAATTTATACAAAGAAAATTAGTCGAGTTTCGTACAGGGGTGGTTACAACTGTTGAAATCTACAGATTTTTTTTTCACAATGCATAACCACTCGAGGCAATGTAGAATCTGAGTGAGAAAACAAATTTAGGAAGAGAAGTATATTTGTGTAAATTAGCATAAATTTGTTAATTAGTCGAGTTTCGTATAGGGTTTGTTAGAACTGTTGAAATCTAGTTTTTTTTCACAATGCATAACCACTCGAGGCAATGTAAAATCTGAGTGAGAAAACAAATTTAGGAAGAGAAGTATATTCGTGTAAATTAGCATAAATTTGTTAATTAGTCGAGTTTCGTATAGGGTTTGTTAGAACTGTTGAAATCTAGTTTTTTTTTTCATAATGCATAACCATTCGAGGCAATGTAAAATCTGAGTAAGAAAACAAATTTAGGAAGAGAACTATATTTGTATAAATTAGCATAAATTTGTTAATTAGTCGAGTTTCGTACAGGGGTGGTTAGAACTGTTGAAATCTACAGATTTTTTTTTCACAATGCATAACCACTCGAGGCAATGTAGAATCTGAGTGAGAAAACAAATTTAGGAAGAGAAGTATATTTGTATAAATTAGCATAAATTTGTTAATTAGTCGAGTTTCGTATAGGGTTTGTTAGAACTGTTGAAATCTAGTTTTTTTTTTCACAATGCATAACCACTCGAGGCAATGTAAAATCTGAGTGAGAAAACAAACTTAGAAAGAGAAGTATAAAAATGACGAAAAAAAAAATTTGTTAATTAGTCGAGTTTCTGTTGAAATCTACAGATTTTTGTTCACAATGCATAACCACTCGAGGCAATATAAAATCTGAGCAAGACAACAAATTTAGGAAGAGAAGTATATTTGTGTAAATTAGCATAAATTTGTTAATTAGTCGAGTTTCGTATAGGGGTGGTTACAACTGTTGAAATCTAGTTTTTTTTTCACAATGCATAACCACTCGAGGCAATATAAAATCTGAGTAAGAAAACAAATTTAGGAAGAGAAGTATAAAAATAACGAAAAATAATTTGTTAATTAGTCGAGTTTCTGTTAAAATCTACAGATTTTTGTTCACAATGCATAACCACTCGAGGCAATGTAAAATTTGAGTGAGAAAACAAATTTAGAAAGAGAAGTATAAAAATGACGAAAAAAAAATTTTTTAACGCTTGGGGGTTGAATGTGCTCATCTCTGGTTGTACGGGACTCCATGAATTTAGTTTTTAAGTTATTTTAAATATTACATCGTGGTAGTAACCAGAGTTGAACAAATTTTATTCAAAAATAGCGAATAGAAATTTTAGATTTATTTGTAAACTAACTTCTATGTACGTTTCATTCATTCTAACATTTTTATTCGTTATTTGATAATGCAAGGCTAACTCTGATAGTACGATTATATGTTTATGAATAAATTTTCGAATGAAATGAAAATAATTTGGCCCTGAAGAGGTTAAAACGCACGTTACGCAATATTTTTAGTAACATGTTACCAGATTTATAGTAGTGGAAATGGGAACACAGCTTATCGTTTCTAGTCCAATGATTAGGTATAATAATCTCTTCAGTGTCAAATAAAATGCAGTCTTTTTATGTTCAATGTTTATTTATGCTATTATAAACAGCATAAATAATACATTATAGTACGTTAAGCAAGATCAAATATGTTTAAAAGTAAAATACAACGAGAAGCTAAATCTTTCCATTTTCACTATTGTAAATGTATCAATGTGTTAGTAAAAAGTATCAAGTAACATGTATGCGTTTTGAATTAGTCTCGACGTCCCCTACAATATAAAAAAAAAGTAGTGGTCCCGTTTAAAAAATCCAAAATGTCTGTTTTGCTATAAAAACAGTTCTCAAAATATTTATTTCAGAATACCAATAAATTTTTGTCGCGTTTCAGGATACAGCCTGTTTATCACGCCTAAATATTATAATACACAAACTCTCGTACTGAAAATCATACATTACTTCCGATTACGCGTTAGTCAATATAAAACACGCTTGTAATAAACAAAGAAAGATTCTCAATGACTATTGTAAATCATTGATGCAACTGTAAATTAAAATAATAGGAAACCTTTCGTGCAATCACAAGTTATATAGGTTTATAGAATATTCTTTTTGGGAAACGAATTTTGCAAACATTTTAATCTTAATGAGTTTGAAAATGAGATTGAAAACTTAATAAGTTTTAATATATTTTTCTTTGACAATTTTTAATTGTAAAATTTTCTAGTTTATGTAATTATAAACAGATTGAATATGATCGAGTCAAGATTTTCAACGACGATTAAACTAATATTGCAAAACGTTATTCTAGAGAATTTTGCATAAAAATAGAGCTGGATAAATTTTATTCATCGATAAAAAATACTAGACTTATTCGTAAACTAATTTTTATTATAAATTCTTTTATAAATCAGAATCCATTAACGAATATACCAGCGAACAAAGCAATTTTTATTTGTTAATCGGGAATAAAATTTGTCCAATTTTGCATAAAAACGGCCAAGTGAGATTCTTTAAACCACCAAAATGGGAACCGTGAAAGATAAAGGATGAGAACCACTGATCGAAGCAAACTGTGATTGTTTTATATGGAAAGTTATATTTTTTGAATAATTGAAATATTTAAAAAAAAACGCAAAGGTGGTGGATGATTTTTGGTATGAATCGTTGGTTATTTAACACTGTTTCTACCGAAAATGTCAAAAGACACGTTTTTAAATTTGAACTTGAAGTTATTAATATTACAAATAACATAATTCACATTAACAATTTTCATGCATGTTAGATACTGGTGAAAGTTCGTGCAGATTTATACTAATCTGATCACAAAGAATCGCTACTTTCAGGCAATATAATTTTATTCGAAAAACTTAACTTAACTTAACTTCCTTTAAGGCTTCATAATTTTGTACGTTCCAGTAGTGCAAAGGTCTCGAGTTTTTTTTACGAGCAATTGTTTTTGACATGCTTACTTACTAGAAAGATTATTATAAATATGAACAAATGGTAGTCGCGAAAATAGAGTTTCAAACTATGGTAAAGATGCGATGAAACTTTTTAATCGATACCTTTATCCATTGGGGGGGCTATTCACATAATTTTTTAATCATGGGGGAGCTATTGTCATTAATTTTTTTAAATTGTTCGAATTATTTTTGCTACAAAAACCAAGTGTAAAATTGTAACGCAAATATCACTTTATATCTTCGCGTATCATCTTCACGTTTGCATGAACAATATTTCCTCGAAACGAATGAAAAATGAGAAACTAGTCTATTTAAGCTTTCCATGGTGGGAATATTATAACACTGTTTTTAATAAATAATAGAAAGTCACACGAACATTTTCTGGTGTCTAACATTTGCCTCCAAAAGTAAAGGTGTAAAAAGGCACCTATCGAGACAGTGTTAAGGGGCCATTCTACCTTGTAGGCATGAAAAATACGTGTTTCTTTGTGATTTTTTTTTGCGGGTTATTAAAGAGCGATTAATTCCGGATTTTGTAGATACATTTATTATATATTTAGCTATATTTACGAATTTTTGCAACGCATAATATCTATTGATTACGCTGTTTTTGTTGATCATCAAACAACAGTTTTTACGAACGGCACCCGACTGCGTACGTGATATCTTGCGAACAAGTTATTCGAAATCCTAAAACCAACGATATTCTTAATATAGATGAGTGTGGTTATAGCATGAACTAGGATCTTTTCAAAAAAAAACAAAAAATGGCAAAATGGCAGCTATTTTACGAAAAAATACTGAATATTTTCATATATTTGGTTGCTTTTTTGTTAATAAAAGAAAAAGTATTGCATATATCGCAATTATCCTGGTTCATGCTATAGGGAGACCAGTTCTGAAGATACTGTATAAATTTCATGTTGATATCTTGAATAGTTTTTTAGTTATCACGCACGCAGTGCCGAAAAATGTAGTTTCGAGAAAAACAGCTTTAAAGTTTCACGTCCAGTTGTTATACCTGCGCGCGGTACATTTCAGCAGGTTATAACTTCGTTAGTTTTTCAAATTTCAATTTAATATTTGGTAGATATATTTTCGAGACAACATACTAAAGGAAAATGCAAAAAAAAAAATATCGATTTTTTTAATCCCACAAGGTAGAAAGGCCCCTTAAGAGATATAAACGTGATGAAAATCGTTGATTGCATTTGTTGCGTTTTATGGACAAGGTGCGTTGCCAGTTCTGCGGTGGCGGAGCATGTAGTCAACACATTCTGTTTCTTCATGTCCACCTACACCGTGGTAAATATCAGAATTAGACGCGGTGGCTATCTAAAATGTACCGGTAGAAAATCGAATGAATTTCGTAGGTGAAACACATGAACGCCACGTCGGTCGAGCTGGGCATAGTTCCTCACCCTGGCGTGGGACCAGCGACCAAAGACGACCCCGTCGTCCACCATGCTTACTACCAGTGGGTCCCTTTCGTTCTGTTTTTTCAGGCGATCCTCTTTTACATGCCTCACTACCTGTGGCGGAATGCTGAAGGTCAGTCGCGCTATACAGGGTGCGTCATGCAATTGGAACTGGTCAGTGTTCACCTCCTGTTTCGTCGGAGACAAAAGAAAATGGTGAAATATTTGAACGCTATAACGAGCTCTCTATCCGTGGATCATACTCCATTACGGAAGACACAATTTTGAACTAAATTATAGGACACTCTGTATATTTGCATAGCAGTAATTACCGATGGTTATCGGTAGGAAATTCATAAATACCGGTATATTTACAGTCACTCTCATAAGTATTCGTACCTTCGCTGCTTGTAAGAGAAACTTGAGATCGAAGGATGCATTTGAAGCTTTGCAATAAACTTTTTGTTATAAATAAACTCATATATAAAGTAAATTTTGTCAAAAAATCGCATATTACGGTAACTTTTTTACTTTGTATTAATTTTCTAGTATTTCGTGGGTCTACCTTTATGACATTATATCGTTTAATCGATTTGGTATACTTTCTATCAGTTTTAAAGTGATATTTGATTCAATACTATTCCAAACTTCTACAAATTTTTCCTTTTAGCATTTGTTTATTGAAAATTCGCGTAGTCTTTTACCTATTTCCACCCATTAATTTTCTATGGTATTTGTATCCGGAATGCATAGTTTGATTTCAACAAATTTCTCCCATAAGCAATGAGGGTACGAATACTTACGAAATTCACTGTATTTGCATATCAGTAACTATCGGGTAGTATTAAATCGAAATTCATAAATAACGATATATTTACCGATAATATTTTCAAGATTTTTCTTAAACGCTGAGATTGCTTTCTTATCGTTACTTTCGGTCTTTAAAAATATAAAATTATTCAATATTTCACTTTACCATTCTTTTGTAGTTCTAACACGTTGACTGTCATGGCGGCCACCGATGGCCGACATTCCGAGCTTACAATTCTCGTTTCAAACTTGAAACGAACGTTCCTTACTGCTTATTAACTTTGAAGCAATGTTTATACGAACATTTCCGGGTTTTAATACTACAAATTCAAGTCAACGTGTTAGCGAACACATCCTGAAAGTTTCAGGCGAGTGACGCACACGCCATGTTCCTTCGAACAAATTCTAACCTGTTCGTGTCCTGATTTACATTTAATTTACATTGAATACAACTTTAATATCTAGGATAATATTACTATTTTTCGACACGGGTGTCCACGATATCTAAAACTCCACTAGTTTGCAACGCTTTCGCCGCTTCTGATTTTTGTTCTTCGAACAGTGTAAAAGCGATTCGAAATCGTTGCAACGTGGAAGGTTCGACGGTGTTTGAAAAAGAAATATTTCGAAAAAAAAAACTATGCAGGAGGTCGTTTGAAGGCGTTGGTGTCCGGTTTGCAAATGTCGACCTTGGCTCTGCACGACACCTCCTTCAAGACCGAAAACGGTATCACGGTCCCTACGAGACAGGAACGGGACGAGAAGATCCAACACATTCGCGTCGCTTTCATAAATCGTATCCACCTGAACCGACCGTGGGCGTATTACTTGGGCCTTTGCGAGGTCCTGAATTTCATAAACGTGCTTTCGCAAATTTATTTCACCGACTGGTTCCTCGGCGGCGCTTTCATGGGGCTCGGTCAAACGGTATCGGAAAGCAATCCCCATAGCACGATGGATCCTCTCGATGTCACGTTTCCCAAGGTATTCTCAGACTTACTAACAAATATTTATTTTTTTCTTAATCAAACATCGTATAAAAGTTTATATTAGATCGTTCCATAAGTTCGTGCTGTTCGATATCCTGAAATTTATTTAACAAACATTTCTTTTGTATTGTAAAGATCTTTGTTTTCGGGAATTTAATAATGTATAATAGAATCAGAGAAGAAAGTATTCATACACCTCGAATTTTGCATTTTAATTAACAAAATCTTCTTCTTTTGTATAATTTTCAATTAAAAACAATATTATACTATAATTTTGGTTTAAAATAGAAAAGAAATATTGTAATAATACACTAAAACTGTTGAGAGAAAAGTACTTGTATAATTAGGTATTTTTATAAATAACAGGGTATGTTACTATGATTAATATTTGATTGGGTATCCTTTGGTATTTCAAATGAAGTTGTTTTAGGTAACCAAGTGCATTTTTCACAAATATGGTCCCACAGGGACGATCCAGGAGATCGACGCTCTCTGCGTCATGGCACTGAACATCGTGAACGAAAAGATCTATGTGTTTCTTTGGTTTTGGTTTATAATTCTTGCGGTGCTAACCGGTTGCGGGTTGATATGGCGACTACTAACTATGGTGTTGCATGCAAGGTTACTATTTACAATTGATAATTCCAATAATTCCTCCTATTATCTTCAACAATTGATATACAGGGTGTTCGGTCAAAAAATTTGAATGGGGGATTGTAGAGGCCAAAATAAGACGAAAATCAAGAATACCAATTTGTTGATGGAGGCTTCGTTAAAAAGTTATTAACAATTAAAATCAAAAATTTCAAATCGTTTTGGAAAAATTATTTTCGGTTGGAGGGGTCAATTATAACCATTTTTTATGAATACACATACCCCCGAAATCCTACCCACTTTCTAGAAAAAAATTCGAGAATATTTGAAATTTTTCGACGGAAAAAAAAATTTCAAATCGTTTTGGAAAAAATCTTTTCGGTTGTGGGGGTCAATTACAATCATTTTTGATGAATAGACATACCATCGAAATCCTACCCAGTTTCTAGAAAAAAATTCGAGAAGGTGTGAAATTTTTCGATGGAAAAAAAAATTTCAAATCGTTTTGAAAAAATTATTATCGGTTGCGAAGGTCAATTACAATTATTTTTGGTGAATAGACATATCCCCGAAATCTTGCGCATTTTCGAGAAAAAAATTCGAGAATATTTGAAATTTTTCGACGAAAAAAAAATTTCAAATCATTTTGGAAAAAATCTTTTCTGTTGTGGGGGTCAATTACAATAATTTTTGGTGAATAGACATACCCCCGAAATCCTACCCACTTTCTAGAAAAAAATTCGAGAATGTTAGAAATTTTTCGACGGATAAAAAAATTTCAAATTGTTTTGGAAAAAATCTTTTCAGTTGGAGGGGTCAATTACAATCATTTTTAGTGAATAGACATACCCCCGAAATCCTACCCACTTTCTAGAAAAAAATTCGAGAATGTTAGAAATTTTTCGACGGATAAAAAAATTTCAAATTGTTTTGGAAAAAATCTTTTCAGTTGGAGGGGTCAATTACAATCATTTTTAGTGAATAGACATACCCCCGAAATCCTACCCACTTTCTAGAAAAAAATTCGAGAATGTTAGAAATTTTTCGACGGATAAAAAAATTTCAAATTGTTTTGGAAAAAATCTTTTCAGTTGGAGGGGTCAATTACAATCATTTTTAGTGAATAGACATACCCCCTAAATCCTACCCACTTTCTAGAAAAAAATTCGAGAATGTTAGAAATTTTTCGACGGATAAAAAAATTTCAAATTGTTTTGGAAAAAATCTTTTCAGTTGGAGGGGTCAATTACAATCATTTTTAGTGAATAGACATACCCCCTAAATCCTACCCAATTTCTAGAAAAAAATTCAATACTGGTGGAACTTTAAATGTTAATAACTTTTTAACAAAGCCTCCATCAACAAATTGGTATTTTCGATTTTCGTCTTATTTTGGCCTCCAGAATCCCCCATTAAAATTTTTCCCAGGGTTGTATATAAATATTAATTGTTTGGATGCGGCAAATATTGCAATAAACAATCTTTTTGAGGATCAGATTTTCAAAGATTTGAAAATTACATTTTCAAATATAAAAGCCCTTCTGAGGTTTTTATCCTGTCATTTTACTTATTTTATGCTTCTTCCTAGCATAAGAACGAGAATGTTAATATTTTACCTTTCCAAACAAATAACGTTTTCCTTCGACGTTTTTCCTATCACCAAAAATAAATAAAATATTTAAGATGCTCAAATTAAGCAAGACACCCACGTATATTGTTCAAATTTGTACAAAATTTCGTTGATTCGTTGCGTGTGTGATCAGTGGACTTAACGTTCATCGAGACATGTAGTTTCTGTTAATTGACTGTTTTCTCGTATTCGCAGGAGCACATCCTTCAACAAGATTGTGTTTTCTATGGCCTGTCCAGGGAAATATAACCCGTGGAACGTGCTGACGGTCACTAATGATTGCCATTACGGGGACTGGTTGTTTCTATATTATATAGCTAAGAATCTGGACAACTATGTTTTCAAGGATCTTTTGCAAAAATTGGCCGAGGACATGCAAGCAAAACGCGAAGGTTTCAAAAATATTCCTTCCGAGGAGGAACCGCTGACCCATATGGCTTGATGTTTATTTACACCCTTACGTCACGATAAATTATTAGAAAAAAATAAACATCACTAACAGCGAATAGGACAAAATTATTTAAAAGAGATACGAGTAAGTATATTTATGCTATCACAGAATGCACAATGAATAATACTTTCCTAGGAAATGATTATTTATTACGTAAGATATGACGAAATCGTATCACTTGTATTATTCTACTCACATTTTGCTTTAAAAAATGTGCAAGTTTTATTTCATGCTGATTAACTGCCTGTAAGATTTTATTCGTGACTCAATTTTGCACCGTTGCAAATCGCAAATAACAGTTTAACATTTTGTCCATCAGCCTTTGGCAACTATAACAGCTGTGATTTGTTTTGGATTAAATTTTCATAGATTACGTCTCGCTGTTTTCTCAGCGAAATCATTTATCACGTCGTTGCGGCCAGTATTTAATGTAAAGATAATTTCAATAGATTTAGTCAATATGTATTGTAACTTTTAAATATTTTTCCACTTTTCTAACTTAACGAAGAACTGTGTACCACGGAGAAATTCGTTGAATATGTGCGTATCTTATTTTTAAGATCAATATTTCGATAACGAATTACATATTGAATTTCAATTTAGCGATGTATAATAAAAGAATTATTAATTTCTACGATTTCTGGAATTTCAAGCGCCCCCTTTTTCGGTTGCCTCTGTTTAAATCCGGCACTGGCTGCAGCTCAAATTAATTTTTGAAAGACAATATTCGCGAAATGTGTTTTCCTAAAGATATTTTTACTCGACTAACTTTTCAAAATTGAGTAAAAGGAACTTATTATTTGATTAACTTTGTCCTGTATCGATAAAAATTTAGTAATCAAATGTAAATAATTTCCTGTTAATTATACACAGTGACGATCATTTAACAATATCAGTTCTTTTTATTGCATTTTTTTATTTAATCATCATACTTGGTTTAGAGACTTCCTATTCTTAAAATTGTTAAGAATTAAAGATTTATAAAATATCAGGTTTAGTCTAACAGTTTTGTAATAGTCTAATTTTTAAACTAAAAATAACGTCAGGTTTTAATTGTAAAAATAATAATGATAAATGAGAGTAAATTAATCGTAAGATCTCTTCCGTCAAGGCGTGCCTCGTTGAATTAAAACAGCGCCAGGAGTTATATTATTCATACACCGACGTGATGAATCTTTGGTTGACTCAGAATCTCGAGCGCATGTGTTCTGGAAGGTCGCTGACTCGATTCAGTTCCCAGAATGGTGAGAATAATTCATGCACACAATTAAACAAAGGATCCTATTTAAAAATGACCAAATTGTCCCTCAGTCGTGGATTTCCTATTGTATATTCGAGTTTCCTCTAAGTCTACAAAGAATGTGGCACGGGGGGGCTATGAAGGTGCCATTTTGTGAAAATAGAAATATATCAATAATTATTAAATGGTTAATCTCAATTAATATGGCAGCAAGAATTAGTAAAATCTAGTTTTCAAAGTTTCTATGAGTTATCACTATTTTACACGATTTCCATTAGGCTTCTTTTTTATGGGATTATTATTTTTACTAACAAACAACAATTTTGAGAGGTGAAAGGTAAGATTGGACTGTAAACCATGGATCCTAAAGCAATATTTCGAGTGACCTGAACACCATTGTCCAATGACCCTCCGCGCCATTAATACAAACGGAGAAATGTCCTCCATAAATGGACGTAATTTTTGCTTAATGAGAAACTAATTCCTCGTGGAAGTTTGGCGCTTTCTTGTTGTCTAATGGCGTATGACCGTACATTATTAAACTGATATGCAAGAATTTTAAACGATAGGGTCAGGGAACCTAATATGGCCGCTGGTTGTATCTTGCGAAGTATTAAAATTGATCGTTCACCACCCGAGTTACACTTTAAACGTGCGTAGGAAGACGTACTGTGATTGCAACGTCACGTGGTCAACAATTAACGAAGGAGACGTATTTCAAAGAATCATACTAACACTGAAACTAGCGACAATAATGGCGTATTTATTTGTACCAAAGAAATTAGATATACAGAGTGTTCGGCTACCCCTAGGAAAAATATTATTGAGAGACTCTAGAAGCCAAAATAAGACGAAAATCAAGAATATCAATTTGTTGATTGAGGCTTCGTTAAAAAGTTATTAATAAATTAAATTAAAAATTTGTCAAATCACTCTGGAAAAATTATTTTCGATTGCAGGGGTCAATTACAATCATTTTTGGTGAATAGACGTATCCCCAAAATCGTACCCAGTTTTGAGAAAAAAATTCGAGTAGGTACTGAAATTTTCAGACGAAATTAAAAAATTTCAAATCATACTAAAAAAATTATATTTAGTTCCAAAGGTCAATTACAATCATTTTTGGTCATTACACATACTCCTGAATTCCTATCCAGTTTTGAGAAAAAAATTCGAGTGGGTACGGAAATTTTTAGACGAAATTAAAAAATTTCAAATGATACTAAAAAAATTATATTCAGTTACAGAGGTCAATTATAATCATTTTTGGTCATTACACATATTCCTGAATTCCTATCCAGTTTTGAGAAAAAAATTCGTGTAGGTACTGAAATTTTTAGACGAAATTAAAAAATGTCAAATGATACTAAAAAAATTATATATAGTTACAGAGGTTAATTACAATCATTTTTGGTCATTACATATATCCCAGAAATCCTACGCATTTTCAGAAAAAAAATTCTTTACCGAAAATCTAATGTGAAGCCAGAGAAATGCTTCCCTGAAATTTCATGCATATATTTAAAACGTCATAACTTCTGAACGGATTGGACGATTTTAATATTTCAAAAAGCAATCAACGCCTATTTTAGTGAAGAATATGTAGAAATTCTAAAAATATTGAAAAAGTAGCTCCTTGACCCTGTAAAATGAGAAAAACCCCATAAAAATGGTCCAATATTTAAACAGCCATAACTCCTACAATAGTGAACGTATCTCATTGAAATTTTTTTCTGAAATGGAGCTCATGGATACCTACAAAAAATTACTAAACAACTTTTCTATAGGGCGTCGAACAAATTTATTAAAAATGAAAAACTGATTTCTAAGAAAAATCGACCAGAGGTAGGGGCCTAAATTTTTCGACGAAAAAAAAAATTTCAAATCGTTCTGAAAAAATTATTTTTAGCTTCAGGGGTCAATTACAATAATTTTTGGTGAATACACATACCCCTGAAATCCTACCCACTTTCGAGAAAAAAAATTCTTTTATTTCTTTCTAGCCTCTTCTATTTTAGTCTCTAGAATCTCCCATTAAAATTTTTCCCAGGGTTTTGGCCGAGCACTCTGTATACTAGGAGAAGCGTATAATGCAATGGTAATGAATGTTTAATCGTTCCCTTTATAGAAACCTGTGAGTTTTCAAAAATTAAGTGACGTTTATACAATTTTGATTAGAAATTACGAATGAGTCATTTTTACCACTTTAGTAGTTCTAAAAATGGTATCTACAAGAAATATATTAGAAGCTTATGTAGATATCAATAATTTATAATAACGAAACTTGCATCAAATGATTCAGATTTTTATTATTGCAAGGCCTTCTGTAGATTTTGCAGTATCTATTATACTATGTATGGAACTGGAATATTTCTTCATTATTTCGAGACAAATTACACGCGTAAATATGAATGATATTTCGTTCAAGAGCCATATTAGTTACATTCGACTTGATACTAATTTCTAGGAATGTACTCGGAGTGTAAGTATAAATAATACGTTCACGAGGAGCAACGTATTTATTCTGGAAGCGTTTGAGAGGCAAAGGGACACGGCACGAAAGAATGCATTCCGTATTTCTTCCAGTACCTGCACGGTACTTTTCGTGACGGGAGTTTCAACGATGAAATGTCTGGAAGCTTGGGCGTATGTAGATAATGCGCCGTGTTCTAACAATAAAATGCGCGCCTTGTAAGAAAAAAAGAAATATACGACCGAGGCATGACCAGAAATTGTATTGCAAGAGTCCACGAAGTACTTTTGATGAATGCTTAAAGACGCGTGTGAAAATTGCAAATCTTTGAACCGTTGTAACATAGTTAAAAATTTGAACACATACCAAGTACGATAACTTAGGGGGAAAAAAAAGGAAGTCGACTTTTGGGAAATCTTTCTAAAGGGGAAGCTTCTCAAGTTCATTGCAAAAATAAATTTAAACAATTACACTCTCTAGAGTCATTCGAAGTTAGAGAATTTTTGTCAAAAAGAGGCCTGGATTTCCTGGCCACTAATTAAATAGAGAAACGTCTTTGAAAAAATGGACTCAAGATCCAAAAACTGGAGTCTCCATTCCCTTTAAAAGGTAATGAATAAATAAATATTTGTTTCATTTTGTAGCTTACATCGTTTCTAAGTGTTCAAGATTACCTTTGATTGAAATCAAGATTTAAAGAACGATTTAATTCATTGAAAAAGCATTACCAAATCAAAAATAATTGTTTCGAGTACCGATAAGTAATTATCAGACTTTATGAAGGATGTTTGCATTTTTTAAAGTGTTTTCTCCGAAATATGACGCCCTAACTACAGTACTGAGCACACGATGTGTTGGAAGATAAGGCCATAATCGTTGCTAGTGAAGAAACGGAGATAACAAGTCTCACTCGGTTTCCAGTCATACTTTGGGCGCGACCATAAACAGCACCACAGTTTTACGCAATTAAAGATCTCTGCGGAAAGAATCGTAGGAAGCCTCTTATTAGAGAAAAATGCAGATACTTCTTACTGTAGCAGGACTCATTAATTATCTGGAAACGGAAACGCTGCAAAGCTCCTTAAATTCTTACAGTTAATTCGAAAGTATAATTTAGGAGATTCAGTTGATAAACTCTAATTTCTAACTTTAATATATAACTTTAAGTTTAGCTGCTAAAAGTAATAATAATCAAAATAAATTAGCTTCGTTTCTTCCATCGATGTAAAAATGTATTATACATTTGTTTTCTGACTTTATTATACTAATATGTAGAGTGCATTTTGATTTTCATCCGTTAGTTTGCATCAGTTTTAACAATAATCGTTGTAAATTCATATTGC